ATACCGCTGCGCCCCTGCCCTGATCGGAAACCGCGCGCAGAGCGCATCCGTTGTCCCGAGGTACGTGTCATCATCCCGGCTTTCATCGTCTTTGTATTAATCTCGCCCTTCCCATGCAGTCCTTAAGAGCACTCGGCGTCCAATTTGCCCTCCTCCCAACATCGTCGTATTCGAAGTCGTCTGGCCAGGCCTGTCCTCTGCTCGCCAGCACGTTCGCAGCCTAAGGTCAGATCCGAGGTATGTTCACTCTTCGTTAGAGCGCCCGAGCTGGACTCTGATACGACTTTCAGTACTAGAAAGAGCACTAAAGTTCACAGCACCCCGCTGAGCACTCCGCGGACTCGCAGCAGACCAAAGGCAGCGCCGATTCGATGCATGGAGCTGTTACTGTACATGTTAGAATTGTGATTAAGGGATTAATTCAGCGAGGATTCGGTGTATTTGATACGAATGTACTAAGTTTGCCCTTACTCCAATTTGACTCGCGCCTTGCGTCGAAGCGAAAATCGGTGGGGTTAAGCATCATCCGTGTATAGCATACAGATGGATAGCTCCGTTCAAATGGAATATTTTTTCATTCTTGCCTCCCGTGGCTCGGATTCCAGAGAAATCCCAGCAAATCAAATTATTTACCCGGCGAGGGACGCGACGCGGTTCAGTCACGTGCTGGGAACGTTCGGCTTTTCGGCTTCAGCTTCGCTTTCAGGGAAAGTTCAACGCACAAGTACAGTAGGGCGAGGTAAATGGATCTAGGCAAAACTGATGCAGAATAACGACGAGAAATACGAGCCTCGGGCAAAGACCGGGCCGGAGGAGGACACACGCCGTTTCTACAGTTCCACAGTCGGACACGCCGACTGGAAGGACACGCATACTCTGCCGGTGCTCCTCACGTACGTCGCTGGGCAGAAGCCAATGGAAAAAATGAGAGGGCGGGGTTAAAAGACGGTAAAAATCCCGAGAGTTCCGGCTAGGGAGTTCAAGTCAAGCCGTGTACTCCTAGAACCGGTGGAATGGAATAGCTCGGACTTGAATTAGACTCGTAACAAGTCCCTACGTTGAACAACAAGACAGAGTAGTGTGAAAAACGATGCATCAAGTCAATTGGACGAAAACCGAGAGAAAGAAAAAGTGGTGGAAAGGTTGCTCGAACTAGAGACGAGGAGAACTTAATGCGGTGCAGGGTCCGTGCGTGGGAGCGCCGGCGCGTTGCCTTGATTGTCGCTGACGTCCCAGCACACGGACCACCCCCGCGCTCTCCCCCGCGAACCATGGCCACGATGACGACGAAGAGCGGCGCCACGCCGGCGCCGAAAGCACCCCCAGCAACAGGACGAAGACGATAAGCAAGAACGTGAAGAATTGAAGAACCAGCAGCAGCAGCAGCAACGAGCTCGATGTCGCAGCCGACGACGAGGATGGCGGCGGCGACGGGGTACAAGGCCAGGACGCTGCGCTCGTACCCGCAGCTCCCCCACAGTGACCCAGATGTGTCAGGTTAAACCTCGCAGGTTGCAAACCATTAACCATTTAAACTGGTTAAACCCCTCGGTTTAACCGCAGCTGGCAGGTTTTTATCAGTGGTAATGCTGTTATCAACACCCATTAAACCAACTGTTACAAGTGGCTATTCCAGACGCCAGTATACATTAAACTGTGCTAGGAAACAACCCTACGAATCAAAATCCCTCAATACAGGTGCCTGCTTCCCTGATTAAACATGAGACACTTCAGGGCGCACGAATTATAACTGAGATGGAAGTGAATGTTAGGCCAGCATTATGGCGGGGGGTTACAGGAGAAAATGAGCAGTAGCACTATCTTGGTATGAGAAAGAGAGAGAGAGGGAGAGAGGACAGGAAACAGGGGCCACCATGAACTACACATACAATCAAATCTTGCCACCGTCCGATTGTGGTTATGCGGACAATGGCGGGATCAATCAGACCTTCATTGTTGTCTCAAAGAGGTCTGAGGCAATAGGCGCTCTGAGACGACTCGGACTCTTCACCCCCACAAGTATCCCACCTTTCACACAGTCCATAAGTGCGACGTACTAGTAGTAGATAAAGATAAAATATCTCGGTTAGTTTAAACGGTGTTTGCTCTGCATAGAATGGTTTATTAAACCGAGAGTTGGTTATAAAGGGGGTTTAACTGGCTCGTTTACTACTGAGATTATGGCACACTACTACCAAATTCGTGGTTTAACAGACAGTTTAACCGGTTCAAATGGTTAATGGTTCATAACCTCCATCGTTTAACCTGGCTCATCGGGAAGTCGCCCCCACCCCCCCGAGGTCATTCGGTGCGTCTTCTTCCGTCATTCTACATCCTGCTTTCCGCTTGGTCCTGGGATCATTCGGGGGAGGAGAACGGTGCTACCGCCAAAATTTGGTGGCGCAAACCGATATTATCCTCTCGGCGCGCGGGGGAGCGTGTATTCGTGGGTCTGTGTATTCCTGCGCGCTGCGGCCGCCAGCCTATTGTCTCCATTTCTTGGAACGGATCCATGCCTTCCTTCCGGCGGAATAAATGCGTCCTTCCTCGCGGAATGCATCCGCGGACGGACGGACAGACTGACGCGGTCCTCGGATCGGTGGCGCGTACACGTTATACCGACGCCACTGTATATTGATACTGCCGGGCCTGCGCTAGTTACTTCCTCTTATCCTCCTCATCTTTCCGCTCGACTTCTCTTTTCGTTTCTATCCTTCTTCCTTCTATCTTCTATTTCCTTATTGTGGATTCCTTGTCCCCAACTAACTAACCTCTTCGCCCAGATTAATAGCGACGTACCATCTAGTCGCCGCGGCTGCGCGCGCCCCTGTGCCCGCGTCGTGGGAGTTCATCGTGTCCGGCTCGCCTGCGTTCAACAGCGTCGCATTGATAGCACGCCCGCATCCCACCGACGACAACGCGCACCGAGAGAAGACACGCACAGAGAAGACACGTACCGGCGCGGCGCAGGGCGTGAGTAGCGGCTGATGCACATCGCGGCGCGCGAGCTGGAGCTTCTGATGACCGTGTGTCCGCAGTGAGGTGTGCGTGAGTGTTTTTCTTCTTTCATTTTCGAGTTTTCGCGTTTTGGATTTCGAGCCATCATCCTTCGCGTCTTTTTATCTTTTCTTCTATTCCTTTAAATTCGTCGCCTCGGGTAACTGACCACCGCCCCACACAGTCGAATATCACACCTTCTGGGGGGATGCAATCGTTCTCTTCGACTTTTACAGCAGCTACGGGCACCTAACCTGGCCCCTACACTCCCAGCACTCCTCCGCCGCAGCCCCCGAGCCCGCTCCGCCAGTTCTTCACGTACGTGTGCCTCCCCTGCCGTGTCAACGCGCGGCGCAGCGCGCACGAGCTCAACGCCGGGCAGCGCACCGCACCTGCGCCGCGCCTCGGCACGATCGTGCTGTGCAAGGTGCAAGATGGCGGGGAGAGGAGCGCGAGCGTGGAGTGCGTGTGGGCGGCACGGAAGGCGGCGGGGGGCGCTGCAATGGGCACAACGGGCGCAGGCGGCGGGCGGGATGCCGCGCCGAGTGGCTCTGGCACTGCGCCCTCCGTGCCGCGGCGCCCGCGAGCCCAATCCGCCACCCCCGCCGAATCCGCCGCCGGGGCCAGGCAAGGCGGAGGCTAGGGCGCGCTGGGCTGGGGGCACGGGCGGGGGCGCATTCGCGCCGGCGGAATCGCTGGTGCGCGCGGCGGTGGTGGGGTTTGTGGAGCTGAGGGAGGGGACGGTGCAGCACCTGCTGGTCGTCGCGGGCAAGGAAAAACATGAACAACTTCTGTCTTGTGGACTGTAAAACGCTCACACGATAATAGCGGCGGTTCAGTGCCAAAAAAAGCGGCTTATCAAACAGGTGATAGTTTGCGCAGATGCGGTCCTCCCGCCACCGTGTCTCTACTTCCCTCTTCCGCGCCCCGAATAAATGAGCGAGGAATATCGTTTTGGTGTTGGACTGTGATAAAGCGTGAACAACAGGATGTACTAACAAAAATTAAAAAATCGTTCGCGAAGCACGGTTGCATGAAGCGGGCCTGAGTCGAACAAGCGGATGCTGCAGAATAAGGTGATGTGAGATTGTGCAGACGCGGGCCCTCCGCCATCGAGTCGCTCTTCAATTTTTCTGTGCCTGAGACACATGAGAGCGATAATAGCCTCGAGATTGCTAAAACCACTGTGAAATCTGGTCGAAAACTAACGTGGAACTGGACCGTGAGTGATACAGTTGATCAATTGAATTAAGCATCTGTGGCCCGCTAAATAGTGGCAGCATCATCTCCTCGTGAGATCCCACCAAAAAAAAAGATAGGGAAATATTGATCCCAACAGGGCTCGAGCCTGAGTCGAATAGGCACCTTCTGCAATGTCTCAAGTAGTCTCGGGCGAACAAATTTTGAGCAGACACGGACCATCCGCCACCGACCCGGTGATATCCTTGAATGTGCCTTGGAGATATTGGAGATATGATGGCGGAGTACACCGGCAGAGTCAGAGTGCCCCGGACCTCCACGGTAACCGTCCCTCCGGACATCCTCCACAACCGCGTCAGATATTTCCTGGTCGGGAGAAGATGAGTAAGACCGCCAAGGGAGTCAGGTTGAACTTCGCTCGGAATTCGGGCGGGGATCGTTCCAGGATTCAAGACCAAAATAACAGAAAAAAGTCCAAACTCATGATATATGACTCGGGCCTGAGTCGAACAGGCGGCTTCTGCATTGTAATCCGGTTCCTTTCTATCACAATCTCAGCAGATGCGGACCGTCCGCCACCGAGTCGTTATTCACCTCTCCTGCCGTCTTGCATACATGCGAGCGGAGTACACCGGGGTCAAAGTAAGAGTGCCCCGGACGACAAGGTGACCTTCCCTCCGGAGATGCTCCAGGCCCCGATTCACCGTGGAAGCGGGGAACCAATTAATTCAACCAGTCCTAGGAGGAGCTCAACAGCGGGAGTGACCGAAAGACAACAGAAAAAATGGCTTTGCAACGCGGGATGACTCGGGCCCGATTCGAACAGGCGCCATCTGCAGCTCCTGGAAGCGATATGCAAAGTTTACGCAGACGCGGACCGTCCGCCACCGAGTCGTTATTCACCTCTTCTGTACCTTGGATATATGAGAGCGCCAGACACGCAAACACCGCGTTGGAATGCTTGATTCGACCGGCCTCTGAATCGTCAGACAATCCCCCTTGACATCAACAGAAAATGTCGCACCGCGCTCGAAGTAAACCTTAACTCTCATTTCCCGTTCTGGCGCTTCGGCGCTGCAGTCTCGTACCAGATCTGACAAAAAAAAAAAAAGGGAAGCATCGATCCAAACAGGACTCGGGCCTGAGTCGAACAGGCGTCTTCTGCAGTAATAGGGGCATTGCATATGATGAGCAGAGGCGGTCCACCCGCCACCGAGTCGGTACTTGACTCGGATGGGGCTTGTATATATGTATTATGTGTGAGGAATTTATCGTCTTGGTCTTGGACAGCGAACGCGAAAAGTGACGGCGGAAGGCAACGGAGGGAGCAAAAGCGAATCTGCCTCAGTCGAACAGGCGTCTTTTGCAGTATCGATATCCTCGATATCATTAAGGCCCGAGCAGATGGGGACTCCCCGCGACCGAGTCGAGTCGATACTCATCCATAGGCCCTGGATATATGCGCGAGGATTATATCGGGGTCAGAGTCCGAGAAAAGTGCAAGTCGAACGCTCATTCCGGCTCGACAAACAGCCCATGTCGACGCTCGAGGACGACGAAAGCACGGCCCGCATCGATCAGCGCAGCGATGGCCCTAGGAGCGCGGCGTGCGGGGGTACAGCGAAGACGCTGCACTGGGGAACAGCGCGGACGCCGGGGGCACGTGATGCGAGGACGACGCGGGAGACATGCGCGAAGCACTTACGCTCGGAATTCTACTTGGAGACATCAACTCAGAGCACGCCATCGAGCAGAGTGGTGGATTCCGCAAGCTCGGAGTTGTATTTGCATTTGTGCGCATGAGCATGAGCTTAGTGTGTACGTAGGATAACGATATGATGTAGCCGCCGAGTAACATGGGTGCCGGGTCTTTTGGATGGCGCGCGACTCGACAGGTGCGCCCACGACGGCGCTGCGGGAGGTGCGCTTATGCGGTAGCGGCGGCGGGCGTGGGCGCGGCCTTCTCCACGGCAGGGGGCTTGGCGGGGCAGTCTTTCGAGAGGTGGCCCTGCGGGGGTTTAGCGTACACGTACATCGGAGGGCGAGCAGGGGAGAGTCAGGGCGGGAGAACGGAGCGGAAGGAGGGGAGGGGAAGCAGGGGAGGAGGGGACGGGGATAACGGGAGGAGGAACGGGGACAGCGAGAAGGGAGAGAAGGAGGACGCACGGGCTGCTGGCAGGTGTAGCATTTTGCGGGCTGGGGGCACGCGGACATGGTGTGCCCGGGCTTGCCGCAGCGGAAGCTACGAGCGCGCGGTTAGCCAAAGCGCGTATCTACAGCGGGAGGGACGCACCAGACGATGGGGTTCGTCTTAAGCGCCTCGATGCGCGCGGGGTCGGGGTTCGGGCAGACTTTGCGCTGTGGGCGAGGCAAATTCGGCGTCGGCGACGACAGCTAATGCAGAGGGAGGGGAAACGCACCTGGTGGCCCTCCTGCCCGCACGCAACACACACCACCGGCTGTTTGCACTCGCGCGTGAAGTGGCCCTCGCGCCGACCTGGAAAACACACACACATCAGAATCCGCGTCCGCGGCCGCGTTAGCGTCAGAGGGACGTACAGTTCTGGCTGCACACCGAAAAACCTCAGCACACAATTCCTCCACACACTCGGGGGAAGACGCACCAGATCTTGTAAGTCGGCCCCTTGCTCTTCCCGGCGGCGGCGGCGGCGGGGACCTCGGTGGACAGCGCGCGCAGCGGGGCGCGGGAGACGAGTGTGAAGGGCGAACGCAGGGCGCGCAGGGCGAGGGGGGCGCGGAGGCGGAGAAGGGAGAACATCGTTAAGAGGCGGGCGGGGAGAGGAGGAAGAAAAAAGTGGGTCACGGTAACGGGTAACGGTCACCTCACGGGGGGCGAGTCACGTGGGTGTGCACGGACCAGCGGGTGTGCGAGGCGTTGTGGGCGGGCGCGCTGTGGGCGGGCGCGCTGCGTGCGAGGTGCAGTACGGAGGGTGGATACTCAGGGGAGACTCGGCCGCAAATGGGATGGGCTAATGAATCAATGGTCACAGCCCGCGAGAGGCAGAACTTGATTTTCATTTGGGAGTTTCTGCTCAGTGCTCACGGGCGCTCGCATAAACCCAGGGCCCACACCACCTGTATACCGACTCGGTGGCGGACGGCCCGCATCTGCATAATATATATTGGTTTGATAACCCCAATATTCTGCAGAAGTCGCCTGTTCGACTCAGGCCCGAGTCACGACTTCGCGATCCCCTGTCTTTTTACCTATCGCCCCCGGACTGATAAGTTATTTATTTCTCAAGTGCAGCTTAAAGCGCAATACCGACTCGGTGGCGGAGGGTCCGCATCTGCATAATCTACGTGGGCCTGGACGATACTATGTAGGAGCCGCCTGTTCGACTCAGGCCCGAGTCATATGTGCATTTGCGCTTTCGGCTTTTTTTGACGAGAGTCACATTTAGCAAGTGCAGACGAGGTGAACAGTGACTCATTGGGGGGTGGCCCGCGCTGCTCACATCCCAGTTGGCATACGAATATTCTGCAGAAGCCAAGTCGTGGGAGTTTCATTGCATCCTTTTTATGTTCTTGCCACCCCGCTTTTGAGTCCTCGCCGAGATCAGGCCCGAGTCCTGGGATTTCCATAACCACTTGCTTTTTCTGTTCTTGCCAAGTCCCGCTTTTCAGCGCTCGCTGGGAATCGGGATCCATTTACCCAACGCCCATACCAGCTTAACATAATTGTGTGGTTGGCTGAAAAGGAGAAAAAAAAAAATGCCCGCGCCCTAAGTTTCGCAAAGAGGTTAAAACTGGAGATGCAAGCAAAATCTCCAGATTTGCAGGCACATTTGACAGTTGCAGGCAACCGAAAAGTTTTCATGCAAGCAGAGTTGAAAACATGCAGAAACAGGTAGGTTTTTACACACTATATCGTCCATACCATTCCCCGCGTCATCGGCAACGTGAACCTCCGACCCACGAGCGGCGGCTGGGGTCGACATGTCACATGGTTTTTGAAGGAATTCAATACCACGAACGCGGCGACTGGTGGAGGGTTTTCACGACACAGGCGAAAACAAAGCACCGGTCCTCTATGCACGAGAAGCTGCCGGATGCAATTTTGCGCGACAGGAAAGATGTAACTCTCCAGTTTTCACAGGGTGGAAAATTCTGCATCAACTCGGCTGTAACGTGAGGCCACTTGTAGAATCTCCACCTGCTGGATTGGATTTCCCGAATGCCAAATGGACTCGGGCTCCATTCCAATCACCCCGGGAGCCTAAGGCTCGAATGATGTGAACAGGCACTCTATCCATCCGCAAATACACTGGACAGGAATCACAGGTAGCACGGATATTATTAGAGTTGATTAACAAAGGTAAGACGAAGGCCGCGGTGCCGAATTGCGCCATCTGTCTGCGCGTGACGTGGGCGGGCATGAGCTCTGCCGCGTACCTGGAATCGATTCGGGCGCCATTTTCTACCTCACCGGACACCGTAAAACCCTGGACTCGAAGGCATGAATGATTCGATGCACATACAACTGCTGTTCGTTATCCTCGGATTCACTTGGGATGCGCATATAAAATGAGCCTGAATTCCGCCATATGGTCAGGGATCCTTTCGGACACCACCAGCATTAAATGGCTCCACTTTGTGAGTGAGGTTTTCTCTTCTAAATGCAAAGATCTTATCCGGTTCTCTAGTTGCCTACATCTTGTTTTCCTTCTCGCTCGCCCGATCGACGCTCTGTTCGAGCCCTACCAGTGTGTCGAAGGATGTTGAACGACTAGAAAATGATTGAATTCTCTATTTTTGTCCAGGGGATGCCACAACCGCGCTCAGCTTTGGAGCCTCTGATTGGATTTGGACCCCCACCACAACCGCCGGCACCCCAGTTGGATTGCGCAAGGACTTCACCCCGCCTCTCGCAAAGGCTCTCATCTCTGCAGAGATAGCCATTACCGCCGCCGTTCTCTTCGATCTCTATGTTAACGGCAACTTCATCGGCTCTGGGACACCGCCCAACGGTGGCCGCTTTGCCCCTCGTTTTTGCGTGGATCTGCTCCCGAGCTTCAATGTCTTCGCCGTTAATTCTCGCACGCACGCCCCAGCCAATGGAGGTGTCCTCGCCAATATTCATCTGACATACTCCGACAATACCACCGCCACCATCGTCTCGGACGGCTCCTGGCGCGTGAAGTCGCTGCCACCTGCTGGCTTTGAGCAGCTGTCCTTCGATGACACCGCCTGGGCATCGGCCACGATAATCGCTCCCTACGGTACTGGCACGCCATGGTCCACCATACTCCCCAATATCGCCTCTGATCCACCCGTTGTCGCTCTCACCGAGGCCCAGTGGATATGGCCCAATGTCGTCCCTGCGAGCGGCTTGGTGCCCGCCGGGTCTCGCGCGTTCCGCCGGACTTTCACACCCGCACCCGGGCAGACCCCCATGATTGCGAACATCGCCATCGCGGCGAACAACCAGTACACGCTGTATGTCAACGGCGTCCCCATCGGCAATGGGACGAATAGGGCGGTCGCCCAGCACTACGTCGTCAATTTCACGCCAGGGACGTCCGAGGTCGTGCTCGCGATCCTCGCGACCAACACTGGCACCGCTGCAAGCACTGCGGGCGTCCTGCTGTTCATGGAGGTCAACATGGTGCCCAGTGGACGTGTCGGCTGCACTGCGGGCGCATTCATATTGACGAATACCCTGTGGAAATCGACTACGGGAGCCATTCCCGCTGGGTTCGAGCAGCCTGATTTTGATGACTCGGCGTGGACAGCGGTCGTGGCGGAGGAGACCTATCCTGGCACGAAATTTGGCACGGTCACGATTGCGGCGGCCTCCCGTGCGGTAACTGTCTGAATAACCTTCCAAATATTTACTGCACTGTTTCTTTTGTTTTGAATATATGCATACT